GATGGCGGCATTGATGCCCGAAAATTTTAATGCTTATTTTTAGGAAAGGTGTCAGCCTTTCAAGTTCCAAGGCCATTTGAGACTCACGTCTTTCTAAGGAATATCCTTAAACATAGGCTACTGATTTAGAGAAGAAATCTCCAGAAGCAGTACCCCTTTTTTTTTTTTTAATAAATTTACAAAAATCGAATCCAAACCATTATTTTAAAAGAAAAAAAAATGCACTTAAGTGTAATCTGACGTCACTAGGTCCAAAGCTTAAGTGCAGAAGCTTCATAATATCAAAGGAATTTGTATCGGTAGGACAATACAATTAAGTCTATCAACAAGGGTTGAAGATAATGGAACAGCCAGGCTTATACCATGTTATACTCGATGAATGTATTTTTTCCTTTTTCTTTCTTTTTTTTTTTTTTTAAAGGAATCAAAAATAAAAGATATTCATATTCACAGTCAGAAGAGCATCTTCAATTTTTTTTCAAAAGGTCCTTTGTTGTTGGCCAACTTGCAAGTAAGATTTTCTTTTTGAGCTTTCCGTGGTCCCCTGGAAATGAAAGAGCACTACTGGCTCACACTGTCAATTTTGCGACTAAGTAATGACCAAATTATATCTCACTTCATAAGATTTAAAAGTAGCCCAATATATATATATATATATATATTTGCAATATGAGCTCCACATCTTATATAAATTATCTTCCCGTTTAAATTTTAGTTGCATATATTCTTTTTACACCAGACAGAGGATGGTTAATCTACCAACGATTTGTTGATTCGAGTAGAAATAGTTCGATTTTTTTTAAGTAAGGTCTGGAGTTTGAGTCTTATGAACGAAAAAACAAATGTTAAGAGAATTTTTCCCTAATAGAGTTCGACGCAACTCGATTTTGGATTAATTGGGACTCAATGTAATTATCGGATATTGAGAAATTAATACAAAAAAAGAGAGGACGGTCAATCTGCTCCAAAGTGCAAATGCAGCACAAGATTTAAATTTGATACCTGTAATATAAA